GGAAGCCATCACTACACTCCTGGCTGAAATTAATGCAGCCTCGCCGTAAGTAAACATCTATGTATTTGTTGAGTAGTTCTGCTTTTGTACATGAACTGTGCATTCATTTGCCTTCATGTATTTACCAGTAGCTAGCACAGTTTATTAATTTGAATACATAAGATAGTATTAGTACGCAAATGAACTGTCCTTGAACCCAGTAAATAATTGTGCATGGAGATCTGCCCTTTGGTTCCCTCACACTCGGGACAGATTGTAGGAGGTGTGCAGTCCCATCCTGGTATTTGTTTTCTGCTCTCGAGGTTAAACCCAAGTATTGAGGTGGCAGAGCGCAAATATTACAGCTCCTTTAAAGCAATCAGTGTGCAGCATCTGTGGTCGCTTAGGGCAGATGCAAGGGAGACTTGCACTTGTCCTCGTCTGCGTGAGATTATTGAGAGGCTACTGTCAAACACCTTCACTCACGTAACTTTCATGTTTCATGTCTCCAAGGGTGTTCATTGATGAAACATCTACCACTCCCTAGTGTATTAGTCCAATTAATTTTGATAAATGATATACACGAAGTTGGTAGAAGCTCACTTCACTGATAGCCACCTTTGTAGATAAACAGAAGTTAAAGCTGTATCGGTCGCTCTATTGCCAAACTTACCCATTCTTTAGCGTATTTTCTTTGGATTATCATTCCGACAATAAGGATTCCGCCAATTTTGTTCACTTTTACTGATTGAGCCTGCTTTGCTACTTTCATGTTGACACGTCTGGACAGTTGGATTATATGTAGCGTCGCGCGAGTGACCGTCGATGTAAAAAGGTATAGTGCTTGGGCTGAATATCTTTTGCTGAGGTGTAATGAGGGATGGGGCTACTGGCTTGACGGAAGTCCTGGTCACCCGGTGAAGGAACAATGGGAGGGCGCCAAAGTAAGTCGGTGCCAATACCGAAAGTTGAGAAACATCATATTATCAGACCCATCTCCCCTTCTGAAAGCCGTTTATAGCTCCTCTTTGTGCTGAGCTCCCGCGCAGCCACCAACCTGTCAGTGTTGTTGGGAATGGCACTCACGAACCAACGATCCACCAGCAAGAACGCTTATTGTGAAGTCGTTTGGTAGTTGGTCCGAAAGGTAGATGAAGTCACTAAACAGGATATGCTAATTGAATTTTTACACGCAAGCTGCCACTCCACAAATTTTCTCCACGATCGCTAACAATAAACCAATTCCTACTTACTCGGGCTGCCATTCATGTTCGATGTAGTCAGGTGGTGTAAGTTAAGCGACTACGAGACACTAGTTTTGTGAGTGGCATCATTAGTCCTGCCATCCACTGATCAGACTAGGCTTATAATCGCTTACATTGAAGCTGAGTCTACCTATTTAGAAAACGCATCATTTACGCCAGAATAAGGCTTGATGTCGTAGCTATGACTACAATGGATGCGATACTAGTTGAAGTCAACGGCTGCATGATAGACAGCGCTGATGACTTCTGTCCACTTTACTTTGGATAAGGGGAAATCCCTTTTATTTCCTAGCCTGATTTTTCGGCTGTGTAGCACTAAAAGCATCACCTAACCTGTGCCATGAAAACAATATATAAAAGTGTCAAGGTGTGATCGTTGTGTTTCAGCCAAATGCTCATACACTTCAAACACACAGCCAAATACCGAAAGCATAATGTGGGTCTTGTACAAAAGTCCTTCAACGGGAAATGTGGTTGACGTAGAAAATGGCCGCACTGGGTAACTTTACTGAGTCTTCACAATGTCGTCTGCAAAGGGCGCATGATCGAGCACTTATTCAAATTCAACGAAAGATCAATTATTAGGCAAATGTAAAAATGAATTTGCTGTGACAGATTACTGTTGTGTGACATACTCTTGCCTCTCTGCAGCTGTCAGCTCACTTGGGTGCGGGTGTGATAATTGAAGCATAAGACAGATTAAGCGAGGCATGAAGATGGTGTCTAAAAGGAGATGAGAGTGATATTCGTTTGAAGCGAATACGGTGTCCACGATTAACCCTTTCAATTTTTTCAGATTTGGTTACCACATTGATTACGTGCTGATCACCTTTGCAGCCTTTTTAAGTGAAGAGACTGCCGTGCAGTTAACTACACTCCATGACACATCTTCTTGAACAACAGTGACCTCATGGTTCCACGTGCACATTTTCACATTCTGAGCTGCAACGACCTGCCGTGCCATATAAAACCACATTAAATAAATATCCGTCCAAAGTGATGAAGTCAGATTTGGTAAAAACAAAAGTGGCTTCTGATTTTTCGTCTTCTCTGCAGGGTGGCTGCTCGGTATTGCTAGCCTCATCAATTCAAGCACACACTATTGCAAGTCTACAAGCTCGCCTTTGGCTCAAGGTCAGGTCACATATACGACGAGCTAACGATCCAACACTGTGCTGCTCTCTTCTAGTTTCATTTGCTGGTGGCCATGACTGAAGAC